AAACGGTAGCATGATGGTATAAATAAATAAATAGTACGGTTGCAACCTGTTTTATATATTATTTAAATAAAATAACCAACTGTAACTAATATTTTTTTGCCGCAACGGCATCGACCGAGCATATCTCGAGTAAATAATTTCAGGCAGTACACATGTATCATAAAACGCTTGTAACTTTGGTAACATATTCAAAATCCAAAATTTGTCGTCTTTGTAGATTTTTAGTACTTTTACTGCATAATCTGTGCTAGTCCATATGGCAAGCATGCAGATTGCAGACATTTTTATTCTCCGTTATTTTTTTCACCAGAGATAGGATATTTCTTTTTTTTAAATTTAGTGACACATTGATACTTGTATTTATTTTTCCCCATTTCGACTGGTAAGAAAGCTCAGCTTCAATCAAAATAACTATAATGAGATAACTATCTGGTATAATAATAATGTACGAACTTTTCACTATTTTTTTAAAAAGAATATTAACAATGCTATAAACATTACTAACATCTCGAGTAAATAATTTCAGTAATAATTTCATTAACCACTCGTGGTAAGCTTAAATTGCTTGTGTTACGAGTGGTTCACGCCAGTAGTCGAATGGTGGATTCAAACCCACGACCTTTTTGAGTTCGCGGTCCGCGCCCTGCCATTAGGCTACTGTCGCTTAATAATTGAAATATACTGTACGAAAGTAAATACTTCCAACGATCAAAACTTCGATCGTAGTTGAATTCTCAACACACATACACTATAATATAGAAACGAGACGGAGCGCGCGAAATAAATTGACACAGGTCTAACCTAGATAACCGCTGGCGCGGTAGTGAATTCACATGGCCGACGCTGTGAATTATACGGTACTTTTATTCAATTAATTAAAAAATAATAGTAACTATTTAAAAAGTAATAATCATAGCATAGTTTAAGCAAATGTTTATGATTACTTTGGTATAAATTTTACGTCAAAATGATGTAGAACTTCGGAGATATTGGGGCTTGTATCGAAGCTTATTCGGTCGTTAATTGAATTATATCGACTTTTTTTCCTTACGTGGAAGGCATGTAACGAAAATGTATTCTATCATTATTAAAGTATGGGATATTTGTGAGATATAAATATATTATTTCTGATAATCGATGTTCAATAGAATCTACAAATTAGAGCTCCCAAATCATGTCTCTCGTAGTTTTGGCCTAAACATGCATCGGGAGAATGATTATTACCCAAAAAAAATATTAGTTATCTAAAAATTTGCTCTGACCTTATTGTAGTAGAAAAAACGAACTATTTTACCAAGTAATTGTTATTTCAAGCAGCGAACGGAAAACATACAATTTCAACGAGGAAACCTTGTAATTTCGCGTTTTTTTTTTGTTGTAATACTCTTATTAAGAAATGCCAATGGGTTCGTTCCTGGCCCTTCAGTTCCATCCTCATAACTGTTCGAGTTAATAAAAAATAACAACCGGTTCGTGAATGATGAAGGTGGTTACGTTACATTTTTACACCTCGTTTATACTATGCTCCTGCGACGACACCGAAGCAAGCGCTTTTAATGGCGTAAGACACCCAAAAAGATTAAAAAAGACGTATAAAATGTTAAGTAACCCTTTTAAAAAAGTAACGCAAAAAGTATAAAAATAAAGTATATACACCTAATACAATTTTAAAATTTGTTAATAAATTGTTCTAGAGGGGTACTGAGCCCCCACTAGATGAAGTGACGAACTGAGTTGCAGGAAGTCGATGGATGCAGGTGGCTGAGGATCATGCTTTGTAACATTCTTTACGGCAACTTGGTTATAGTTACTAAATTATTTAAGACAAAGTAAGTGGTTGAGGTTTTAAATACTGCAGATGCAGTTTCATCAACTATTCTAGTCACCATAAATATTAATTTTCGCAACTCAGCACACTTCACTTCGTCGACAATTGCTAAGTTCATTTCAAACCCTCTAGCTACTCGATCGCTGTTGTGGAACGAGTTGAGAGTTGAACTGTTATTTACTGCTTACAGATGGACGCATTTTCAACTATTCTCGTATGGGAGATTGTCCTCCTTACCTCTATACTCCATGTTCATTTTGTACAAGAACAAGAACCGGTGTCGCCGGGAGCTTACATACATGCGGTTGCGTTGTATTATTACTACTAGAAACCCAATTCGCTGATTGGTCACACAAATTTCAATAAATAAATGTTACAAACATTATACAAGTACAGAAAATATTATTTAAAATCAGACTTTGTTCCAAAGCAATAACAACGCATACACAACGAATCTTTACAGAGCGTCTCTTTCTGAAAAGAAAAAGAAGGGATGACTGTATTGACAGACTGAGCGAATTTGCACATTTAAGACTTTTGATCGATGTTCACAATCATCATTTATCATTCAGCCCTTCACAAGTCTACTGCTGAACATAGGCCTCCCCAAGGAATGCCATAAAGCACGGTCCTAATCCACCTGCATCCATCAACTTCCAGCATGTCTTACCAGATCGTCACTCCATCTAGTGGGAAGATTGCTCTACACTTAACCTGCCGGTACGAGGCTGCCACTAGAGAACCTTTTTTCACCATCGGTTATCGGTTCTTCGAGCTATATGGCCAGCCCATTGCCACTTCAGCTTACTAATCCGTTGGGCTATGTCGGTCGCTTTGTTTCTACTGTGGATATCCTTATTTCTAAGTTTATCTCGCAGAGAAACCCCGAGCATAGTCCTCTCCATAGCTCGCTGAGCGACTTTGAGCGACTTCATATGGTCAGCAGTGAAGGACCACGTCTCAGATCCATAAGTCATCACTAGCAACACTCACTGGTTGTGTTATATAATGTTTTCACAGCGAGAGACAACTAACTGTACTCATCCCGCATTTAAAAGAATTATTATTTATACCTGATGTGACTGAAAATCAGATTTCGTTGAGAAAATAAAATATTCAGATGAAGTAAGTAAAAATTATATGATGCATCGCGACTGTCCCATTTTAAATTGCTAAAAGACTAAAAATTAGTTTGATAGGAGAGCGACGAAGCACCGATTGAGGTTATCCTTGAAGAGTTATAATCATTCGTATAAAGAGTACGCTTACTACGTGCGTATAAAAATTATCTTACTGTATAAGTAAGATTTTGAATAAATGATTTTTGAAAGTGATCATCGTTGCCCATGAACACCTGTAGCACCAGGAGTATGAGGGCTAATAATCTTAAGCTCACCAGATGTCGCTAGTTGGGATTAGGGTAAACTTATTTACTACGCAGATGGTCACACTGTATCATCATCAATGAAAATTTGCGTTGTAAATAGAAGTTTTTTTTTGTTTCAAGTGTATCTATATACACCAAAAAATGCCTCCGACGTGTGCTATTTAATTTTTTACACCTTTTTAACTTTTTTTGTAATTCTTCTAGCTTTAGTAGTTTACACGTATTTTGGTTAATCCATTTTTAATCTAATCAATACAAAAAGTAATGAATGTTTCAGAGAGAACCATTATTCTTTACACTTACAGCTAACAAATTAACTTCCCCAGCTATAAAATCTGTCAAATATTTCCTTAAAAATTTCTAGATAATTTGAATGTTTGGGGCATAGATTACTGACTATGTACTAGAGATTTTGGGTATAACAGCAGTCACACGACACCGTTACCTGCTGGAAGTAAATACAAGACAAGAATCAAAAAGACGAAGTATGCAAATGAAAACCAATAGTCAGTATTTTGAGACCCAGGGTAGTATCTGCATCCGCACATATATTATATTCTTATCAAAAGAATTACATCGGGCATAACCACGACAGTGGTTAAGATTCGTAGGATGACTGATTCATACTGGTTGCCAGTCCCATCACCCTTTACTCCTAAAACCTTATAATAATAATAGTATAAAGAAGCCAGTGTGTTAGAATGAGTGAGGATCTAAAAGTCTATCCTCACTTTTTGTATTTTCTTTTCATTTTAACTTTGTTTATTTTCATCAACATTTCAAATCCATAAAAGTAGTTTTAATCAATGTATAGTGTTCACGTAAATATAAGAAATTATTATATAACTTTGTTTACAACAATGATTAAATAAATATCGTAAGATTCGAGTTTTTTTAATGGAATAAGAGTGACAAACGAGCACACAGTTCAACTGGTGGTAAGTGGATGCTGTGGAATATAAACATCTACATCTGTCTTCGATTAAAATTCAAATGAGGTCTCCAGTTCACTACACTCACCATACAAAACACGGCAGCATTATGCTGCTATTTCACGCTGGTATTCGGTGAGAGCGTGGTCTTTCCCAGGTCAAGCCGACACATTCATACATTCTTTTGTGTATAATGATACACTTACAACCTCAATATAGTTACAGTATGGCTTTACTACGTATGGAGGATTCGACAATATTTCGCTGAAACAATAAGTTGGAGTGATAGAGTGAGGGAGTTGCTACTATATTATTGTTTGAAGTGGATTTTCATAATAGTTTGTATATTCGATTTTAATACGTTAAATAATGCGATTTTGTGTAAGTATAAAATTAATATACAAAGAACTTTTTATGTACCAATTAAACAGAAAAAAGTGCTGCAATGGTACTTTAAATCTTAAGCATTTTATATACGCTTGAGTGACTTGAGATAATATTCTTATCTTCAACTGTCTGCTGGGTCATAATATCCCAACCACTTCACAAAGTGACGCATCAGCATATTGTGAAGAATTTTGTGAATACACATTTTACACTAGACTGAACGTTTGATGAACGTGAACCATGATCATTGAATAAATAAAAAAATACTTAAGCTGACACTAGTTGACACTTGACACTGACATTAAACTGTCACCACGAAAGGGGCCATTGAACGAACTGTCAATACGTTACACTTTTTGTTAGGAGAATGTAGAAACATTGATTTTACACGTTTTAAAGTTGTTTTTCAGAGGTTATTTAATTTGTATATGAATTTTTAACAAATTAGCCGTTTAACTGTCACATGATGGCAGCCACGGCACATAACGAAGTTTCTATAGTAGAGCTGAAGGCGGAGATTGAAAGGCTCAGTCGGGAGCTGGACCAGGCCAGCAGCGAGAAGATACAATCAGCCCAGTTGGGTCTGGTCCTTCTGGAAGAGAAAAGTGCACTGCAACAACGATGTGATGAATTAGAAAGCCTTTACGAGAACACAAAACACGAACTTGAGATCACCCAAGAGGTTAGATGGCCTACATAGTCTCTTATTTTCACTTTTCATGCATTAATGGATACATTAAACTGAAGTAAACGGTAAATTTAAAAAAGATTATAACAACACAAGTATTGAGCTAATTACAAGAATTCTTATAAATGGAAATTCCAGATCCATCTCACCTAATTATGTGAATTTTCTAGCTATAATATTTTGATCATTACTGCAGCTTTTCGTCTATAATGATGTACAGATGTAAAATTTATTATTATAATTACGATCCCTCTAAACCATTTCTTCTGTTCATTAAAATAAAAAAAAATTATAAATGATCTTGGTTTAACAAAACAAAATTGTTTGACAGGCATTAATGAAACTTGACACAACTCAAAAGGTGACCACACAAAGTGGTATTGAACAAGAAAATGCTCTCCTTAATGAGTCTGCTGCTATGGAAAGCTCTCTCACATTCCAAATTATTGAACTGGAAGGAGAGACCAAACAGGTAAGTTTCTTGGATTGAAATTTATGTAAATAATAATGCAAACCATCTTAAAATACAATGTAAAGCCTCATTTACATTCAGCCCCTGCCACTGCTCCTCGCGCTGCCGGCAATACTTCTCTAAATACCGCCGTAGCAGGATCGCGGGAAGTGTGTATTCACACTCTGCCCTACCACTCACATCACTTTCGGCTTTCGACTATGGCAGACGTCGAAATAATTACAGCATCCGCGCTGTGTCTTCTTGCAATACAAAATTATGTTAATAATTTAAAAAGATATCAAGTTCAAAAGAAGATAGATAGATAGAAAATTTATTAGCTTAAAAACATGGTACATAAGATGATGTGGAACTGACATGTTTTGCCATAATTGGCATGCAAAAATGATATGAAATTCAGCTAATTACACAAACCCGATGTTATATTTTAAAATTATTGTATTGCTTAATAGTTAGGTACAAACATTCTTTTTGAATTAAAATATTATGTATTAATTAAATACTTATACAGATCCACTCTATTTGAATTCTTATACAATAAATTGTTCATAAATTATTAATTGAATTATTATATTATTGTTACATAAATAATATTAAATATTATATGAGATTAGTTAAGCTATTATTATTTTAATAATTACACTACAGTATAAATTAATTCATAATTTTAATTACAATAAAATTATAATTTAAAAATCTCAGGCTATTATTGCAAATATTACCATTTAACTTATTTTAGATTTTAATAAATAAATAATCAATATGAGTTACTAATCATTTTTAGAAATAAAATGTCAATGTTCATTAATTCCTTAAACTAAATTTTATATTAAAATAATAAACTTGACGAATTTATAATTAATTATGTACATAGGTACTATGTTATCTCAAAAAGAAAATTCGTATTCGTAGAAGATGATGAATTATGATTTTTATTGTCGAAATCCCATAGTTTTTTCTGATTCCAGCAGTTCTAAAAACTTTATTGTATTTTCATTATTCCACTCGAAAGGCATTTTGGTAGATCATACTTATTTAATAACAAGACGGCACGCACGTCCCTTCATCCAGGCGCTTGGCGCAAAGTGAGCGATGGAGCTGAATGTGAACACTCACTGCCGCTCGCGCTGCCCGTCCTTTGACTTCCGTACGAAAAACCGACATTTGAGAGATCGTCGCACAGTGGCAGCGGCAGCGGCAGTGGCAGCGCGAGTAGCCTGTTTACATACTGGCCTGCCCACTGCCCTGCTCACTGCCCTGCTCACTGCCCTGCTCACTGCCCTGCTCACTTCCCTGCTCAACAGGGCTGAATGTAAATGGGGCATAAGATTAGATATTTTTTATAATGAATTGTGGGAAATCAATTTGTTAAAAATGAAAAAAACAGAGAAAAATTCTAATATCACAGAGCTATTATGACGACAGCACAAATGTGTTGGCTCGTCTGTTTTGGGACCATACTCTTACAGAATACTACCATAAAACAGCATAATAAAGCTGTTGTGATTCGTGTGGTGAGTGAAGGGAGGTGGAGACCTTTTACTTGTAAGAAGACATTCCATCGATAGAGATAGAGATATAATGCTGTTTTGATTCTTAATCAAACATAAATGTTGATGTCTATGGGCCAACGCATCTCTTTACCATCAGGTAGACTATATTTCTGTAAAAAAAAGAAAAAAAATCACAGATAAATTGAGCTTGTGTCATACATGCTGTTATTGTGATATATAAAGGTATATATTCGTACTGGATAAGAAAAAATTACTTCTTATCAAATAATGTCATAATATGTGAATGACATATGAATTAAATTTTTTATAGCCACTGAGTAATAATAATTGAATAAGGTAGGTAATAGGTGGTAGTTAATTAAAAATTAGAAAAGAAAAGACTTCAAATAAATATTGTCATCATAAATTTGTCCATTGAAACTAAGTATGTAGACATTACTGTTTATTTTTTTTTTTAATTTCTGCCTTTACACTTTGTAAAAGACAGAATTAAATAGCTTGTAAACGACTTTCATTATTGGTTTTTTACCCACTGTTAGAAGCTCCGCTGTAATATCAACCTTATTCAGTGTCTAATTGTGTTTTAAAAATCTTTCTAATCTTGTTCAGGCCAATATTCCTAATAGTGTATTTTGAATCGTTAATAACACTTGCACAGCTGTACACATCATCACTCTTAGCACTACATCTCCATTGGTGATGTGTACATCTGTTCAGGGAACATTGTAGTCAGACTCAAAATCCTTGATCACCTCAAAGTAACACCTCTGCATTGGGTCTTTAAGTTCTAAAATTGGCCTTCGCTGGCAAAGTCATTTTCAGCCTTGTTTTCCTTGGATCAGATTTCCCATATGAGTCGTACTACTAAAACTACATAAAGTTTACTTGAATTAATCCCTACCTATTAACCTGGAATTAAATTAAATTTACTCCATTATAAGGACTCAGCTACAATGGCTTAGTGATGTCACTATATTCTATCCCCCGTGTTCTTACCAAAAGTCCCAAAAACTACACACAGGGCCTAAAAGATTGCAGAATAATATATTAATAACCGATGAAGCAAGTTAGTATTTGTTGTGATGTTATTCGATAAATGTGCAGCATTTTTAATAAATTTAAAATTAAATTGGATTTAAACAGTATTTGTTGTGTTATTTTTTGTTAAACACACAGCATTAAAAAAATTAATTAAACTGCATTTTACAAGATTTAGCTAATTAAATATTTTAGAGGGAAACAACAAAGACTGCTGGTTACTTCTAGCAATTTGTTCAAATTGCATAAATACTTGTCTTCATGTTTTCTTGTTTCCGTTTAACAGTAACATACTAATTACCTCAATAGAGAAAGTGAGTCTATTAAGGCTGTTTTGAATTTTTATCACAATTATTCGTCTTTAGCAATTACTTTAACATGTAAATGCTACCCTGCAATATAATCAATATAAACTGACTTTTTTACCCACCATGCAAAATTTTAAATTTTATGAAGATGTCTAAATCCTCATCATATTTTAATTTTATAAGTAATTTATTAAAGGTTTTAAAAAATTGTTGTACAATGACTTTATTGGAAACTGTTGAAGTGTTTGCTTGCTGTACTGTGAGCCGCAGGTTTGTTACCCGTATGGATACTGCCTCATTTATCTAGTGTTTACAAGCGCGAATGCTGATCATGAGGTCTTTGATTCAAATGCTTAGTTTAGAATTTCGGTCCAGAGGACATTCAGTTAGTGCATAACATAACATTTTTAATACATGATGTCATTCACATGAAAGAAGTATGCCTGGGTTTTTGTCTTTATATCATTTGTGTATTTAAAATGTAGCGTGTGTAAAAGTTTGAAAATCAGATTTTTAATCAAAAATTAATGTAATGAGAAGGGTTGTTTAAATCAGCATCAAATCAGGGTTAAGTCGGATGATGAACCTGTAAGAGCTGTTTAGGCTAACAGCATCAACATCACAGGAAATAGATAGATCTTATTTTACAAAGCAGTTATACTTTCTCCAGGATTGCCATCAACTGTGCAAATACTTACTTGATGAGTTTTCATAAGATTGTTTGGAATATTTTTACATTTTTCGGTTTTCGCTTTCTATTTAATTTTAGGCATTTTTGAGTATGACTATAATATAATGGGTGTGGTCTACCAGACTAAGTATAAACGCATAACCTATTGGTACAACTTTAACCGAGAATCCTAGAGCTTATCCATTGCTTGTATACTGAGATTAGCCTGGATGAACCTACTCACTATGTATGTAGCCTTGCCTCCTGCATATATTTTTGGGGGTAGGTCGTCCAGATCTGACTGCCGTTGTATTTATGGGTCGGAAAATGTTCGTACGAAACGAACTACAGCAATAGCATCATCATCGTCATTACAGCCCTTCACAAGTCCACTGCTGAACGTAGGCCTCCCCAAAGGAATGCTACAAAGCATGGTCCTGAGCCACCCGCATCCATCAACTTCCTGCATGTCTTACCAGGCCGTCACTCCATCTAGTGAGAAGTCTAACGAAGTACACTACGCCTACTGGTACGAGGCTGCCACTTGAGAACCTATTTTCCCCATTGGTTGTCGGTTCTTCGTGCTATATGGCCATTCCATTGCCACTTCAGCTTACTAATCCATTACAGCGATAGCGAATTTTGCGAATGTGTGCCAGCGTAGATAGCAGCATAATACTGCTACATGGTAAATGACGAAAATCGGAGACTCTTTTTACTTGTAATGAGGTATCCATCGTATTCCTCAGGGCTGACAAAGCATCTGGATTTTAATTCTTAATTGAGGGTAGATGTAGGTATTTACAAGCAATTGCTGAGTGAGCAGTGGACTGTGTGTTCTTTTTTCACCTATGTATAAAAATGATGTACTTTATAAATGTTTCATTTAAAGTTATGAAGTATCACTAGTCTGGAATCTGCTCTAGATTAAGCAAGGCTTGTAAAACTCTCAAACTCGCAAGCCCGGGTGAATCACTCGCCTATACCCTAGCACCAATATAATGGCAGGTTAGCAGATCTTTGTGCTATGCGCGATCCGTAAAGTAAGCTGCGTTAGCGTCATATTTATTAATTGATTTACTACGGCCTAAAATCCAAAGCAAATATTTAATTATTACAATCGCAATCTTTGTCTTTAGCTCTATAATCTTTATCTTTATATATATAAATTACGTGTCACGTTGTTTGTCCGCGATGGACTCCTAAACTACTAAACGGATTTTGATCAAATTTGCACACCGTGTGCAGTTTGGTCCAACTTGAGAGATAGGATAGTTTTTTTGCCCATGAGTGACCCACAATTTTTTTTTGCGAATTTAATGATTTTAATAGGTCATGATAAAGAGTCGTCGAAAAGGGCAGAACAAAGTCTGCCTGGAGAGCTAGTTTACAATAAAATTTCGTACAATTCGACGAACCTGATTTCTAAATCTATTCACTGCCGCGTAGCTTGGTACTCTATTCGATTTA